ACTGATCGCCGAGGATTCGGCCATCTTGGTCTCCAGTTTGCCAGCTGGCACTGCTTGCACTGCCATCGCAGCTACCAACAAACCGCACAGACATGCTGTTAACGAATTCATCGTTGTAGAATCGGTTGAACAATCGTAGCGAACTGAATGCTTGGACGATTTGGCTGGCTTTTAAACCGATTTTTCGGTGTGACGACACCGCTCACGCACTTTTTTCCGGAACGCAATAGTGCTGAGCGTGCCGAATTCCGACGTAGAGCAGCACGGGCGGGGACTGGCTTCGGGAAATGAGGATGAGGGCGAGAATAAGAATAAGAATGAATCTGAGAATGAGACTGAAAATGAGGCTGAGAATGGGACTGAGAATGGGTCTGAAACTGAGAATGGGACTCAGATTGAGACTGAGTGTCAGACTGTGAATGGGAGTGAGTCTGAGAATGGGACTAAGACTGAGACTTAGACTTAGACTTAGACTGAGACTGAGACTGAGACTTAGACTGAGACTGAGACTTAGACTGAGACTGAGACTGAGGCTGAGACTTAAACTGAGACTGAGACTGAGACTGAGGCTGAGACTGAGAATGAGAATGAGAATGAGAATGAGAATGAGAATGAGAATGAGAATGAGAATGAGAATGAGAATGAGAATGAGAATGAGAATGAGAATAAAACTGAAAATGGGACTGAGAATGAAACTTAGACTAAGACTGAGAATGAAATTGGAACTGAAACTGAGAATATTAATCATTTTAATAATATCTTCTCAAAATGCATAAGAAAACTATTTAATCTTTATAGTCAACATGTTTTTCATATCTACGCAGTCTTAAAGATAAATAGATATTATAGAATGGAAAACACGTATCTACGTGCGGAATGGATGTTTTTAGCAGAAACCGATTATGGATATTAATGAAAAACAGCTCAGAACTTCTTTCAACACTTTAATTTCAGGGTCATCCATATGTGTGTGACAGAATTAACTAAAATTTAATTTTAAAAAATTAATTTTCACGCTAATTCATTACAAAATTGCTCAATTTCATTAACATTCGTATGAAACAGAAATATTGAAAAAGCAATCGATGCCATATTAATTTGCTTTGTGATTTTAATTTCATTCAATGAAATATTATTTAATTTTATATTGAGCTTCCCAACAAACACGAGAAGTTTAACAAAAAATCGTTGTACTCGGGTTGCCGAATTTCCTTTATGTGAATGAGGGTGAAATTGAAATACAAAGAGAAGATGAAACTGGCGATGATGCTGATGTGAAGCTGGGAATGAAGCTAATAATGAGATTGAGAATGAGACTGAAATCCAGATAGAAATCTAGATAGAAATTGTGATAGAAGTTGAGATATAAATTAAAATAGTAATTGAGGTTAAGATTGCAGAGGCTAAGAATGTAATTGAGATACAGATTGACAATGTAATTCATATAGAACTTGAAGTCGGAACTAACGATGAAGCCAACAAGGAGAAGACAGAGAATGAAATTGTAAGTATTATACAATAGTCGGAACTATGGTATTTCAAGAGAGCCGCTGTTTCTGTAGTAAATAGAAGAAAGTTAAACAAGGTAATTTTACATTGTGTGTCAAGCTCAAACGTCGGGGAGTTTGATCTTTTTTCCAAGGAGTACGTTGCTGCACTTGCAAAGTACACTTTTCTGTCGAATGAAACGCTGCGGTTTTATTTACTTATTGTTAGCTTGCTTCTTTACGACGGCCTGAGGAGGGTTTGTTCAGAAAGTTGAACATGTTAATGTTTACGGTGATATTTTGGAAATGTCAACGCTAGTTATACAGGGTGTTCTATTTAAGACAAGCCTCTTAAATTATCTTGTCAAGGAGTTATTATAATTTTTATCGAGTTTTCATTTAATTGTAATTACTAAACTGCGGATCTTTATGCAAAATATCAATTTTCCAACACGGTTGTAAGAAATATCTACATTGTGTAAAAATAAATTGTTTCTTGGAATAGTTTTGATAAGTCGAAAACAGTGTGACACATTTTTGCCATAAATGCATAAAAGTCTGCAGTCTGATAACTAGAATTACAGTATATTCGAATGTATTGGATACTTGTATTTATTGTAAATCATAATTAAATTGCAATTTTTGTTCTGAAGATAATGGTAGTAAATTATAATAGATACAATTAAATGTGCTATTAAAAGTTGTGTGTGTGTGCAACATCAAACGAAGGAAAAGAATTAAAATCATTCAAATACAGTTCCTACACAATTTTTATTGAAAGCGTGCCCAAAGTAACTTGAAAATTACAGTAATAATAACATTGAGGTTACCGCAAATTTTTAATAAATATCGATAATTGAAATCAAAGTTCTGATTGAAATTAATTGATTGAAATATCAATGATATTAAATCACAATTAACTTACAATGAAAGTTGCTGTTAAAAGTTACAATATTAAAGAAAACAAAAAGGTACAAAAACTATAAAATACGAGTTGTCATAGTCTTTTATATGATTTTCATTGTAAGTGTGTCCAAGTTAGTGAGATTGAATATTACAATCGTACTTAAAATGAAATAATATCGAATTTTCAATTAACATTTATAATCACAATTGATAATCACAATTCCAAAAATAAGAAACAAGTATAATAAATCAGATACCGACAAAATTTATCAACGAATCCATTGTCAAAAATTTGCCGATGAAAGACGGTAAACAATATTTAAAAAAAAACATCCGTCCAATGAAAGCTTCCACAATTTCCACAAAATCTCCGTTCAAAATACGTCCGAATTCATGAAAAAAAAACAATTAAAATAATAATAATAATAATTGCTTATAACGTTGCTAATAATATTTTCTCAACAATTAAATACGGAATCACGGGAATTGGCACGGAATCGCGGTAAAGGTCGCCCGCGTCGCGTTTCAAGGCCCATATTTAACAAACAGTGTTGCAAATAACGATTGCAAAGCCGTATTTCGGCAGGCGATGGTTTCCGACTGCACAAGTTATTTGCAGCTTCATCGTATTTCGACATCGCGGCAAGCCGAATTTAGGGCACTTTTGACCGTTCTTGCCGGCAACACACTTTCATTGTCGTCAGCATATTATGGTTGCGTTCCCTTTATCCCGGCGCTGCGCGGCGCCGTTCGCGCTTGTTTTCATACACCGACAATACGTAACGCATAATACATTACGGTAGACGCCGGCGATTTAATAATGCCGGCAGAGGAGGTGGCATTCATGGAGTTCTTTCGCAAGTGCAAAATATTAATGGAATATTGACCACGGAGCCGCTTCTGCTCCAATTTCAATTAAAGCGTTCCGCACGTCGAGCACGTTTCACCGCCAACAACCCAATAAACTAATTATTAATTGCTGGACCAAATCGTAAACGAGCGCTTTTTCTCCAAGAACGTTGATTCTCGTTCGATTTTTAAAGAGATCGGAGTCGCTCGGTGTCCGGCTGCTTCGTACACCCCCCTACAAAAGTATCAGGAGGCTTGCAGAAAATTCGATAGCAAATTGCCCGAATTATTTTAATTTATTCTTAAATTTACTTCTTCTTTATTTCTTCTTTATTTTTCATATTTGTTTATTTTTAATATCACAATTTATACTAAATAAATATAGTCGCAATACTTTTGGACGGGGGTGTACATTATTTTGTAACGCTCGATGTGCTCTCGAAGAATTCACTGTAACGTGCATTGTACGGTTAGGGTCCCAATTACTGACACATTAAGCATGATTTTTTGTTCATCTGCTGTATATATATATATATATACTTATTCAATAAAATACTTGCAGAAAGCATAAATTTGATGTGAAATTAATGAAGAATAAAAATAATGCAGATGTCCCAATTACCGACACTTGAAAAAGCTACTTGTACCAATTATTTTGACCCAAACACCGATAAGATATTCATTTTCGAATATATTTATACAAAAATTAACTGTTAATTCTAACCTATCCAACTTAAGTGAAGCTATTAAATTATACAAGTTGTATCATTAACACTTTGACTATGCGTCACCTGTATGCGAGTGACAAAATTATTTAACATCTAATTTCTATGCTGATTCATAAAAGTTTCTTAATTCTATTAAGATTTTCAATAGATAAGAATGTTGAGATAGTAATCGATGTCATATTACTTTGCTTTGCAAGTTTAATTTAATTGATTAATCAATTAAATGATGAATCAAATATATGAAATTTTGAAATGTTTTAATATTAATAATAAAATTGTTAATATATGAATATTATTAATATTAATAATATTATTAATGAATAACTTTTAAATGATCTAAAAGTATCCCATTCTCGCTGTTTATTTAGGAAAAATTATACGAACGTACGAATATTCTTTTATATAGAAGTGTTTTTCTAAAAATCGGAACAACCAAAACAGAAATTGATCTTCGGTCATTTTTCGAAGCGAGAGTAATAAGATCACGGACTTAAAACTTTGTGGACAGATTAGCCGAAGCCGGAATAGTCGGTAAAATTCTTTCCAATGCCAGAGGAATGGTTCTGTCGGAAATTATACTGCTTCTTGCAACGCGCTCTCGAAAGATTGCATGGCGGGCATAAAATCAACCTGCTTTGTTCTCTGAACGAGAGGAGAAACAAAAAGATTGTTAATCCGTTGGAGTGTAGCTGTTCCCCGGCGTGGAATATATGAAAAATTCTAAAACAGTACGGTAAAAGAAATGGATAAAGCTGGAAACGGAAATTTGATTTTTATCAAGAAATGGAGCCGTTGTTTTGTTACTCGAAGTTCTAAGTTTGCGGATGTCAATTCAGTGTTCCGCTCAAATGTTTGTATGCAAAATGGCTGATTGCATTTCGAGGCGAGCAAGTATTTGATTTATTAAAATAGAAATACTTTCAAGAATCGTTTACGCGAATGTCAATTTTATTTTTGGAATGTTTGTTGCGTTAATATATCTTGTCGAAAAATTTAAGTCAAATTTGAATAGTTTGAATAGAAACGCATAAAATCAATTTTAAAGTATAACAATTAAGACAGCATTTAATTAAAGCATATGTAATGATGCGTATATAGAACAAATAAATAAAGCATAAACAATTATGTTTATACAAAATGAATTTGAAATAAGGCGTCACTAAAATTACACGTAGATATGTATAT